TTTGGTGATAGTTCTTTTAGTATTCACCCGTGAAAAACCCGCTTTGAAGGATTGCGGGCCGGGTTCGGGTTTAAACCCGCTATACTTTTTGCGAGTTGGATTGGGTTTGGTTTTAGCCATATCCAACCCATGGATACCCGTAGGGGTGATAAACGGTTAGTCGGTTATCGGTTTTAACCGATAACCGAACCGATAAAGTCGGTTAGTGGTTAACCATAACCGTTACTTCCTTATTAATTTCGGTTTCGGTTAGTAGTATTTTGGTTAGTGGTTAACCGCTAACCGATTAATCGGTTAGCGGTTAACCGATAAGAAAACCGATAACCGCCTACTAGTGTAACTACATGGTTTTTTACTTTGGTTAAGGGAAAAAGTTGTAAGATTCAAAACCAATCAAAATTGCAATTCCAAACATCCCAATTCTCACCTATTGCAAACAACCCTCCATCAAGAGTCTCAAATGTTTTTAAGAGTTAGAACTCGAAAGTCACCCCTCTCTAAATCCCCTTTGCACTCGATAGAGTGAACCTTAGGTTGATGACTATGGGTTAGATGAAGATCTTGGAGTAAATGATGACTATGGGCTAGATGAATTGGAGCGAGATCCTCGGATCATTTAGGTTGATGATTTGGAGATAATGAATTTGTTATTTGTGTCTTGTTGTGATTGTGACTTGTGGTTGAATTGTGGGCATGTAGACTTTATGTTATGGAGTTGTGGAGTTGTGGTTGAATTGTGTGGTTGCTTTAGGCTTTATGTTCAATTGATTTAGATGACTTTATGGTGTGTGATTATAGAGGCTGAAACAAAAGCAGGTCACTCAAAATTGAGGGTGAATCATTAAAAAAGGTGATTGAAATTCGGTTTTGGGTGGTCGGTTTCTGAACGAAAACCGAGAAAGTGAACCAGAAACTGCGGTTTCGGTTAACCGCAAGGGAAAACCGAAACCGATGTTTGCGGTTTTCGGTTAACCAAAGTCTCTGTCGGTTTCGGTTTCGGTTAGTGATCTTGGGACAATGTCAGTTGCGGTTAACCGATATTTCGGTGCGGTTAAACCGAAACCGCACCGACTAACACCCCTAGATACTCGTACCCAAGTCCATACCCCCCACGAACCACGGAACCCTTAACTAATTAACTATAATTTTTAAATCTCACACATTCAATTAATCATATTGTTTGTGGATGTTTATCTTCAATATTGAACAATTAGTATGAATGATTTGTGAGTTAGTGTGTATGTAGTAGACAATAGTAGTAGTATAATGGCATCTTTATACATGAACCCATGGGTACCCATGAACCCGCGGATACCCAGCGGCTTGGGTTTGAGTTTTCTGAATTCAGTGGGTTTTACCCTGGGTTTTTTAGGTGGATAAACCCATGGGTTTGGGTTTGGCATAACCTGCCCCAACCCGATCCATTGCCATCCCTGATTGTAACTATCCAAACCAAACAATCACCAAAACCAAATGACCCCTCAACTTTTAGTTGTGATTGTTGAGATTGTTTTGTCTAAACTTTTAACACTTGTGACATGCACAATCACACATACCAAATATTATATTTTACAATATATTAAATTCGACAATACATGTATAATATTATACTTGTATTTACAACGATACATCTATTTAATAATAGAGCTTCCAAACGAGTTGTTATTATTCTAGCAAAGTAGCACTTTCACACTACTTTATTGGAGATGGTTATGACTCATGATTGTTGTATTCTCTTTCTGACATTGGGCTCACCGAACCCAAACCCATTACCAGATTAGTAAATTACACTCACCGAGTCACTGGGCATACCTTAGCATTTTTCCTGCCTGCTGCCTTTCCAATTCTAGATCCAATAAGGAAAGTTAGTTGGAGTTAACCTGCAAGTTGACTCGCTGATTGACACATTTTGAGTATGGTTTGGTAAAAAAATGGGTCACACACCCCAGTTCGACCCGCTAGTCCGCTACAAAGTTATCGGGTTGGAGGTTACACAATATTTTTTTTCTTTGGCTTGAAATGTGCCTATTTTTTTGTTTTCTTTTCGTCTAACCATATATTTGAAATTCTAGTATGTTATTACTCATATATTGGATGAGATTTGATGAAATTTATAAACATATGAACAATATAATGAGTATTTTCATATATTCAAGCTAAACCAGTCTAACATGGTCGAACCTGTTTTCCCCGGCGAGAAAAACTAGATGAACAAAATTGGATTTTGCACCTTTGACTTCCAAACAAATGATTGAACAACACGGTTCACACCTCTTTGAACAAAGTTCAAACAAGGGTGTTCGATGTTCTTGATGGTGTACGAGGCAAACTAAATTACATTAACTCTACTCCTATGGAGGTTCAGTGAGAGCTCCGAAACTACAACTATGGCTATGACTACATTTGCAGAGGAAAAGGTAAAGATAAAAGGATAAAATTTGACAATAGGTTGTCTGGTGTGATTTTGGCGAACCCCTTCTCCGTCATCTTCACCTCCTATTTATAGCCACCAGAAGTAACTGCCTCGAGAAACTGCTCTGCTGACGTGGAGTGGCGGTTACCCTCTCAATTGCTTCGACGGTTACCGTGACGTTGGATGTGCCACCTTCTTCAGTCCTGATCCCCTCCTCTTGAGATCTCACTCCCTGCTCTTGGTATCTCCTCCATAGCTTCGCTTATCGTTAGGAGAGTAAAGAGACCATGTGCCCACATGACCCCCTTGCCCCCCTTTGCCATATCATGGGGCGTGTGTTGTGACTCCCTCCCCATAACATTGGAGGCATCATCATTCTCCATACTTAGCCATATTTCACTCCATGATATTGTACCCCATGGGTTTCATATGGATCACTCCCACCACTCTATCATCCTTACGGGAGCCAGCATTGGTGACCCCCTACCCCCTGATCATACCATGGGGGTGGTATGTTGGTGGTCCCCAGATCACCTCATGGGGGTGCTCCTCGCCACCCACATCATCTTCCATACTTAACCACATTTTACATCTTCTCGTCTCACCAGGGCTATGGGGGAGTTGGTATGGTACCCACCCCCCTCGGTACCTCTTGAGGGTGGCGACATGATGGTCACCCCCCTCGGCATGTCTTGGGGGTGGTGGCATGGTCCCCACCCCCCTTACCACGTTCACGCCATGGGGTTGGCGGTATGATGCCCACCCCCCTTACCACGTCCTGGGGGTGGCTCCCATACTTAGCCAAATTTGGAGATACATGGCGCGCATGGTAGTACGGAGTAATGGGCCCAAAAACACAATCTTCATGGCCCACTCAACTGATTTGAACTAATATGATTAAGTTGGCCTTATAAAGCCATTTAATTCCTTGTTTTTAACCGATGTGGTACAAGGTTAATTTTTGGTGTAAACAATTGCCCCCCAACTACTTAGTGCATAAGAATTATGGACTAAGTAGTTTCACACCAACTAGGCTATCAAACTCAAATACTTGGCCTTACAATTTAAATGACCAAAACAATCCCAATTTCTTCTCCTTTGCTGCCGTGTGGGAGGAAGGAAGGGAGTCAAACATAATTATTCCATAGTCCTTCCATCTTGACACAACCGTGCCCCCCCATGCCACTGTGACCACCACCACTTATGGTCACTCTTAAATCACACGGGCGGTATTTTTTGAAGTTATTGGGCTAGAACAACAGCATGCCCCCCTAGTTAATCCAAACTACTACTAACCATACCCCATGCCATTCACCATCACCTCCATGTCTTGTCATGAAGGGTGTGGTTCACACCTTAGCAAAATTATAAGATTTGGCATGATTAGGCCACCTTAATGGTCTTAGTAGTATGAGTAATGATTGAGGTTTACCAGTCGTGGCAAGATTCTCACATCAAAACCTACTAACTTCTTCAGAAACTTGCCACTTTCGGATTTTATATATATATATATAGCCATGATTGGCTTTTCTATATTAATTAATTTTTTTTACTTTTTTTTTATTGTACATAATAAGTAGTTACAAGCATCATTGATCTCCATACCCTTTGGCAATAACCAATGTGCCAAAGGTATACATCCATTGCCAAGTCCATGTATTAAACCAAACCAGCCAACCATACACCATTTGTCCATGGTTGTTCAAAGGAGATGATTCTTCACAAGCTGGCTTTGAATCACCACCTTCACCATTTTTTCCTTTCTGACCCTTACCATCACTTTGGACTTGGACATGCGTGCCCTTGTCAGACACTATTACTTTGGGACCCGTGGCCATAGAGTTGTCCACCTCAATAGTAGCATGACCATCCTCATTTTGTTGTGATGGCCTCACTATCTCACCAGGTACTACTGGGTATTGCCCCTTTCGTGCTTTAGCATTCTTACGTAGGAATCTCCTCCTTTGAGTCCTTGTCATCCCCCCAATAGCTGCTGGTTGACTATGCATATCATAAGTATGCCCCCCTCCTTGTGGCACATTGGGCATCTTGGAAGTCCTTCTCATGGGAAGAGGGCCATGTGCCACCCATTGCCTTCTTTGCCCCCATGTCGGTTGAACGACCCCCTCTACTTGTCTTTGATAGGATGGGTATCTCGGCCTATGGGGTGGGCCAATTCTTTGTTGGACTGGTCGATTCGGTTTCACTTCATCAAGTCTAAGATTCCTTTTGCATTGGGAACATAGCTTCTCCACCTCACTAGACACCTTAGACGCGGCCGAGTTGACCTGCTTGCCCTTTGATGACTTTCCCTGCTCAACCACTACCTTGGGGATCCCTTGTTGCGGTGTTGTATCTAACACCAGTTTGAAACGAGGAAGCTCAATCTTGGAGAAGTCTGGATTAACCATGTTAACACCAAGCACGTTGGGAAACGGGTTGGTATCCACCATCATGGCATCTTTCTTTGGCTCGGGGAGCTTGATGCGACCCTTCTCAATAGCATCCTGCAATATATTGTGAAAAACCACACATGAGTCAGTGGCATGTGACATGCTGTTATGCCACTTACAATACTTCTTTCCTTTTAATTTCTCGGGTGGTGGGATGTTATGCCCCCTGTCAACTTGATTTGACCATCCTTGTAGAGTTGGTCAAAAATCAAGTCAGCTTTGGAGATATCGAAGGAATACCTCCGTGGCTGGATAGGGGCACGATTTGGTCTACCCCCTTGTGGTTCATTGGCCATCTTAGCCAAAGGAGCACATACATATGGCTTCCCTGGAGTTAACTCAGCCAGGTCTACCTCCACCTCATTGGCCTCTTGGCCAATATGGTTAACAGGGTAGCCGATGTTGGGGAAGCATTGCCCCCTTGAGGCACTCCTCCTATTCTCCTCTTCTTGAAGAAGAGATTCATATCTCACCGCACAAGACATGAGTTGGAACAAGTCAGAGAATTCTCTATCTTGGAATTTCTTCCTTAACTCAAAACTCAGCCCCCCTTGTGCTAACTTGACAAACTCTCTCTCTGTCAAGTTGACAAAACAACGGTTACGAGCATTCTTGAAGTTTGTCAAGAAGTGCTCTACTGACTCCCCTGGCTCTTGGCGCATTCGTGCCAAATCAGCCATGGAAACCTCACGCTCAGATCTATAGAACTGAGCATGGAAGCTTTGCTCCATTTGCTGCCATGTTTGGATGGAATTGGATGGCAAATTGACATACCAGGCAAAAGCAGGTCCTGTCAATGAGTTTCCAAATACTCTTAACTTAATAAAATCTCCCACATCCCCACACTGGACAGTAAAACGTCCAATGTGCTCCACAGTAGACTGGTCCCCTGTCCCAGTGAATGTGGCAAACTCGGGCACCCTAAACCCCCTTGGGAATGGGTAGAGTCTATCCACCCACTCAGGGTATGGTTTTCGATAAACAGGTGGCATGGTGGGTCTCACTCCCATGCCAAATTGCTCGGCAAGAAGTTGAGCCACCTGATCCCTTAGAGTGTTGGGATCATGCCCCCCTGGTTGCCCGCCTTGGGGTACGAAACCCATGGGGTCCATGCCATGCCCATTGAAATGGGGTGGCATGGGTGTTGGGTATGCTCTGGGAGGAACTTGATCTCCCCCACCTAAGCCTACTCCCCCTCCCATGTGAGCAGGCACCGTATAGGGCCTTGCCATTGGTATGGGTATGGGTGGCGGTTCCACTGGAGTAGAATGTGCAACTCCCAAATTCTCACCACGTGGGGGAATTTCTCCAACTCCCACATTGGGTATCCCTTCCACTTGGGTAGTGGCAGGAATCTCGCCGCGATTCATGCGGTGAGGAGTTGGTTGGTTTGTCATCGGCGGAAAGAGGTTATCTTGCCGTGGCTGACCATTTCCGCCGCCGACGGGAGATGAACTTAAATTTCCTGAATTGCTATTGAGGTTTGAATTCCCGCCATCTAATGGCAGAGCTCTAGATTGGATTATTGGCGTGGTCAAAAATCTTCTAAACTCATCAAAATCACTTTTGTTCTTATTAACCACTTCAAATAATTGACTTAGACGTCTATCAACTCTAGAATTAAGACAGTCCATTTGAGAATTTACCTGATGAGAAGCAGCTCTAGCCTCCTCCATCATGCGGCGGTTCTCCACCATCATTTGGCGGTTCTCCTCTGTGGCTTGACGGTTCTCTGCCACCAGTTTGCGGTTCTCCTCCATCATTTGACGAAGGACCCCCACTGCTTCACCAATATCTCCACTTGGCGTCGCCGTTGGTAGGATCTCCGCCCCACCATTGTTTCCGGCCACCGCCTCTGACACTTGGCCATGTTCAATGTTGGCCACCTGCTCCTCCACAAAACCAGTCGGAGCGTCACCTTCTTGATTCCTCCGCCTCGGAGCCATCAAATCGAACACACGGGTCCCACCAGGTGTGCCAATTTGTTTTCCCCGGCGAGAAAAACTAGATGATCAGAATTGGATTTTGCACCTTTGACTTCCAAACAAATGATTGAACAACACGGTTCACACCTCTTTGAACAAAGTTCAAACAAGGGTGTTCGATGTTCTTGATGGTGTACGAGGCAAACTAAATTACATTAACTCTACTCCTATGGAGGTTCAATGAGAGCTCCGAAACTACAACTATGGCTATGACTACATTTGCAGAGGAAAAGGTAAAGATAAAAGGATAAAATTTGACAATAGGTTGTCTGGTGTGATTTTGGCGAACCCCTTCTCCGTCATCTTCACCTCCTATTTATAGCCACCAGAAGTAACTGCCTCGAGAAACTGCTCTGCTGACGTGGAGTGGCGGTTACCCTCTCAATTGCTTCGACGGTTACCGTGACGTTGGATGTGCCACCTTCTTCAGTCCTGATCCCCTCCTCTTGAGATCTCACTCCCTGCTCTTGGTATCTCCTCCATAGCTTCGCTTATCATTAGGAGAGTAAAGAGACCATGTGCCCACATGACCCCCTTGCCCCCCTTTGCCATATCATGGGGCGTGTGTTGTGACTCCCTCCCCATAACATTGGAGGCATCATCATTCTCCATACTTAGCCATATTTCACTCCATGATATTGTACCCCATGGGTTTCATATGGATCACTCCCACCACTCTATCATCCTTACGGGAGCCAGCATTGGTGACCCCCTACCCCCTGATCATACCATGGGGGTGGTATGTTGGTGGTCCCCAGATCACCTCATGGGGGTGCTCCTCGCCACCCACATCATCTTCCATACTTAACCACATTTTACATCTTCTCGTCTCACCAGGGCTATGGGGGAGTTGGTATGGTACCCACCCCCCTCGGTACCTCTTGAGGGTGGCGACATGATGGTCACCCCCCTCGGCATGTCTTGGGGGTGGTGGCATGGTCCCCACCCCCCTTACCACGTTCACGCCATGGGGTTGGCGGTATGATGCCCACCCCCCTTACCACGTCCTGGGGGTGGCTCCCATACTTAGCCAAATTTGGAGATACATGGCGCGCGTGGTAGCACGGAGTAATGGGCCCAAAAACACAATCTTCATGGCCCACTCAACTGATTTGAACTAATATGATTAAGTTGGCCTTATAAAGCCATTTAATTCCTTGTTTTTAACCGATGTGGTACAAGGTTAATTTTTGGTGTAAACAGAACCATGAACCCTCAACCCACTTGCTCGACAGGCCAATGCGCTAAACATGATTAACAACCTTATTAAGGACTAAGGAGTCGATCGTATCTGTAACTCTCTCTTGTGGTTCTCTTTCTTTTTGTTTAATCTATTTCACCATTATAAAAAAAAAGAGCCTATCGTATCTGAGCCGGTGTACAAACTCAGGTTATAACCGGTTGGATTCGAGGGGATTTGGTCAAATCGGCCAAATATTGACCAACAAAGAACCCCAGAATTTGTCCATCTGCGTGGAATGAGGAGCCGTTTCTAGGTGCTGCCTCAACGTTCTCGCTTATCGCACACTCTACTTCACCAGCAGAGGAGTCGACGAAGTGTCTTTCTCTCTCTCTCTATTCCCCACCCCTCGAATTTCAACACAATTTCTGCCCGCCGTCGCACTGCTCCTCCTACGCTCACTCCTCCTAGTTACCGCATTTCCCCCGCCCCGCCACCATGAATATCTTCAGATTCCTCGGCGACATGACTCACCTGATCAGTATTCTAATTCTGCTTCTCAAAATCTACGCCACCAAATCCTGCTCAGGTAAAGTCCTCCCCCGCCGCCGTCGCCTAGGGTTTTGCTGCTCCTTTGGCCGTTATCGAACAAATTGATGCTGAAATTATCCGGCAGCTGAGTCCAATGCTGAAAAACTGATTGTTTTTTATTTATTAGGGATTTCTATGAAGACGCAGGAGCTGTACGCTTTGGTATTTCTCGCGAGGTACTTGGATCTGTTCACGAACTTTGTCTCCGTTTACAACCTTATTATGAAGCTGGTCTTCATAGCCAGCAGTCTCGCCATTGTGTGGTGCATGCGGAGGCATCCTCTGGTCCGGCGTTCTTACGATAAGGACCTCGATACCTGCCGTCACTATTTTCTCATCGGCGGAAGCTTTGTGTTGGCCTTGCTTTGGCACGAGAAGTTCACAATTGAGGAGGTGACTACTGGCTGCTATTTTGTTAATCTTATGTCCTTGTTGATCCGGTGTGATTTTGGAATGATCATAGGTTGCCTTTTACCTCACTATAACTGGTTGAAGCATGTGATTGTGCTGTGACTTGGTCCTGCACCATTCTTTGCGAGTAGCGAAATTTGCTCTGAAATTCGACTGACAAGCTCCCAGAGATTCAACGCTGCTCTAGTTTTGTTAAGCTTTAGTACTCTCTATATATGCGGTGCAGGCCATGCTTTATAAGTATGGTTTTGATTCTGGGACGGGACCATGGGAGGGTGGAAACAAGGAAAGGGGTTATATGCTTCGACCTGGGAAGAGAAGCACAAGAAATAGACACTGCTTCTTAATCTTTAGGGCTCTTCTATATCTTCTTTATGATCTTTATGAATAAATTATCATTGGGAACTTGGAAGTACTTGATTAACTCAAGAGTTACATAGATTGAATCTTATGGTCAGTTGTCTGTGCTCACAAGCTGTTTCTGCTTCATATTCATTAATTCATATAGTCATGGTTTGCTGTAGATCTTCTGGGCCTTCTCAATATATTTGGAAGCAGTTGCAATTTTTCCTCAGTTGGTGATGCTCCAGAGGAGCGGCAATGTGGATAATTTAACAGGGCAATATGTCTTATTTCTCGGGTACGTAAATGCTCTCTTCTTAGCTCGAAGCAGTTCAATTTGTAGCTCTACTGTTTTGTAGGATAGTTATTGTTGTTGATGTTCTATAGCATATTGGCATGTTTAAGAGTTTGGTTTATCTAGAATCACTTTTTTGTTGCACCACTTTGGGTCATGCAGTACTTTATCTAGATGGTCACTATCATTTAGAGCTCTGGGCAACATTGGGTTCAAAGAGCCCCCTTGAAACTTTTGTAGGCTCAAAGCTTTTGCTTTATGCATTGTGCGTGATGAATTCTATTTGGACTTCTGAACTTTTTGGGAGATCTGCTTTTGCCTTCTTTTGATAATCCTGCCCTGTTGCCTGTTGGTGTCTTCTTGATGATGTAACGGATAACTGTTAGTACAGTGTACGATGATGGTGGAGAGCTTTTCTGAGCTGATCTAACTTATTCTCTTAGCATCATAGACTTAAGAGTTCGATCTTAATTCTCAGTTTAATTAATGTTTAACCATTGGTGTTCTTTTATCATATTCTCGTCACGTTTGAGAACTCATAATAGTTGCCGACTTGAGAAATGGGTGGATTGGTCCAGGATTTCTTGATTTGATAATCTAACTTGCACTGCTATGTGATCCTTATCTAGGATGTCCGAGTTTAGGGCTATCGATTAGAAGAAAACACAATACCAATTCACTGGTTAGGTTGTTTTGAACATTATACTGGCATAGTTAAATTGCTGGTATATTAGTTTTGCACAACGAGCAAGTTCTCTGCCACCCAGTTTCAGCTTTCAGCTCATTCCCGTCAAATGTGCGGAGATACGGGGATCTGCAATATAATAAAGTTTATGAACAAAGTTGAAATGGAAGTTATGTTTAATGTTTTGAACCTCAATGGTGAGCAATTATATGTAGCTCACCTTCTGAGTTTTGGTTGCAAAGTACCAAATCAATTAGCTTTTTTACTTGTTGGAAAATCAAACCAGTGGTGACAGCCTTTCCTTGTTATCGATTAAAATGTTTGGTGCTAGATGGTTCCTAGAGATCATTGTAGATATCCAGTTTCTAAACACAGCACTGTGATGTGCTGAAGGCATGCAACCCAACGTCGGTAAATTTTAGGAATGACCCATTCGTTTCTTTCGACTTGCAGGGCCTACCGTGGACTCTACATCTTGAACTGGATATACCGTTATGTGACTGAGAAGCATTTCGGACGTTGGATAGGTAAAACAGAAACAATCACTATCTCCCCACCGATTGTCCTTCGTATTCTTCTTCCTTTTTTAGAGAAAATGTTGCACTTTGATATAACTCTTGCCCTGGTTTTTCTTCAGCTGTTATCTCTGGTGTCGTACAAACAGCCTTATATGCAGACTTCTTCTACTACTACTTTTTGAGGTATGCAAGTCGTTTGTGTTTGTGCTGGTCCAAACACCCTGATAACCTGTTCTTTTCTCTTAAATCTCAATTGTCACTCTTCTTCTTCAGTTGGAAGAACAACGGAAAGCTTCAGCTACCAGCTTGAAAGCCGGGACATAGGTTCATCATGAGGTGCTTACTGTGGGGTGAAAGTTCTAACAAGGGTTTTATGTCGTCAGCAGCTAGAGAGTTTACAGAGAAAACAGGGGTTTGCATATCCTAAATGATTTTACTTTTTGGATTACATGAGATAAGATATTTGCTCGTCGTTTTGAAATGGTCCTCGGTGGGTTTTCTGAGTAGCAGCAGCAGCCTCCATTTACTTCCATAGATGTAAAGGCGGATGGATGGATGGATACAAGGGTAGGAGTAGGGGCTTTACCACCATTCACCGTTGACTGGTGATGTCAACTGATTTACCATTAACCCTTGTTCAAGTCATATCATACACGTTTGCTGAACCGTGACAAACATTGGTTTCATTTCTTTGTTCAAATTTGCAACTTGGATTCTTTGTTTCGTTTTCTTCCTCGTTTCTGTGTTGCTTTATCCGATGCGAAACTGAAAGCGGCCGGGAAGGGGAGAGCTGAACTCTTGCCATATTGGACAAGGACGAAACTGCTAATTGCATTTGCCAGGCTCTTGCTCTCACCTTTGGCCGCTTGTGCCGGATATATTTGGCTCTTGGTTCATAAATTCTATATTTATCTTAGAGATTCCTCTTCCGTTCTCTTGTATGAAATGGGTGGCTTGGTTTCGGAGTTTCATTTATGGGTTCATCAAGTGTGTGGATTCAGACAGGATTCAATTGGAATAGCTAGTTTGTTATTGTAGAATCAGATTGAGAGCTCAACACGTCTTGATTTAGAGGTATATCTATGGTCACATTATTTCACCGTCTACCCAATAATTAATTCTAGCTGATCATGTTGTATAGGGATCATCCAATCAAAATCAACATCTATGATTTGGAGATCCTCACATTCTAAATGCATCAAATATGCTCTAATTAGCTGATCATCTCTTGTATATAGATCATCGATAGCAATAACTACGATTCAAAGATGCTCACATACCAAATATGGAAAAAAAAACTTAACCAATTATAGAAGCTGAAGTCTCAGGCTCTCAGCTCAGTCATACGAGGCAAACAATGGATAAATTATTTATAAGAATTATGGATAAAACCAAGTGAATTCACTTGGGGAAAAAAATTCAAACCAATTACACTCGAGTTTATCCATAAAAAAAGAAAATAAAAACAATACCTAAGAAGAGGCCGTAGGAAAAGAAGAAGAAAAAAAATCTAAAAGAGGAACGGGCCCGCCGCGGAAACTGAAATTGGACTAATCCAACAGAAGAGTCCAATAGCCCAAGTGGAGAGTCATTTTAACACATCAACCCGCTTTGATCCGCCCCGCGGTGCAAATATGGTTGGTCGTATCTTACGTGTCGCAATATAATTGGTCTTATCTCGTGGCCACCTGCCCACCCTCTTTATGTAAACTGTTGCTTGCGACCTCTTACCCACATCGTCATTTCTCGGAGCGGGTCAAATACCGAGCCGCGTCCTGCTCTACTTCTCTGCGAGCTCCATCTCCCCTCATCTCGACAGATCGCGTCTGAAAGTAAGGCTCTATCCTTACGAATTGCTGAATCTGTTTATGGCTAGGGTTTAGTGACTCGATTGCTTAACGCATTTCTCTCCACTTGCGCATTGGCAATCGAGCTAGATCGGTGCAGTTCCTGTGTATTGATTTCAAATATCCACTTGCATGTTCTGATAATTAGGGTTTCGATTTAGGCCTTACCGATCTGTCTGCTCGGTTTCATTCAATTTACGCCAATTTCATATCCCGATTTGCCGTCTTATTTCTGGATCTGTGTTCTCATCATCAATTTTGGCTGCTGTGTGAAGGTTATTGTGCCCTCTTGAGTTGTGAGAAAAATGGGAGGGGATTTCAGGGTTCTGCATCTGGTCAGACCTTTCCTTTCGTTTCTGCCCGAGGTGCAGAGCGCAGACAGGAAGATCCCATTCAGAGAGAAGGTCATCTACACTGTTATCGCGCTCTTCATCTTCCTGGTGTGCAGTCAGCTCCCGCTCTATGGTATCCACTCCACCACCGGCGCCGATCCATTCTATTGGATGCGTGTCATTCTCGCCTCCAACAGAGGTACCGTTATGGAGCTTGGAATTACCCCCATCGTTACTTCTGGATTGGTGATGCAGCTCTTGGCTGGATCCAAGATCATCGAAGTTGACAACAGCGTTCGTGAGGATCGGGCTTTGCTGTAAGTCATTACTGCAATCGTGTCTTTCATCTGCTTAGCATGTGGAGTTGTTGGTGATGCGGATCGGTTGTTAAATGCTGAGTTTTAATTCCCTAAGATTGGACAGCTTTATTTATGTTTTTTTCATACTCTATGCATGTTGATGGTTTTTGCATGTTTGGCAATCTGTTGTGCAGTGTTTGGTGTTGTTTCTTCTGACATCTTGTATTTATCATTGGCGGTGATTAGGAATGGCGCACAAAAGCTGTTGGGTATCCTCATTGCTGTTGGTGAAGCTGTTGCGTATGTGCTATCTGGGATGTACGGCAGTGTTGGTCAGTTGGGTGTTGGGAATGCGATTCTCATCATTCTTCAGTTGTGCTTCGCTGGCATCATTGTTATATGTCTGGATGAGCTGCTCCAGAAAGGATATGGTCTCGGCTCTGGGATTTCTCTCTTCATTGCCACCAACATCTGGTAGGGACGCATTCATAAGTTTCTGCTTTCGTCAGCTTCTGCTTTCGTCGTTGGTTTAATTGTGGCTGATTGGTTTCACGGACTGTAGCAATTCATGAAAAGTATAATGCATGGAATGTGTTGGGAATCGATTTGGTTATTCCATCATTTGGATGCATTTTTAGTAATGCCGGAAAACGACTCATGGAATTCAACTAGGACAACAGTTCATTTACCATTGTTGGCGACTAAGAAACTTATAACAACGACAACAGTTTATTTACCTGTCCTCGTCAAATTTAGATTCAATCTCTACCACTTTTCGTCTCCTTGACATACTACACCAAATGAATTCACCTTTCATCGCATTATGGAATTTAACTCTACAATGCATGAACACATTTCATAAACCAGACTACTCATTAATTTATCTATGCTGGGTTCTGATTTTTGTTTGCTCAAATATTAATTCAATGCAGTGAAAACATCATCTGGAAAGCATTCAGCCCCACAACCATCAACAGTGGTCGCGGTGCTGAGTTCGAGGGTGCTGTCATTGCCTTGTTCCATCTCCTCATCACTAGGACGGACAAAGTTCGGGCTCTTCGAGAAGCTTTCTACCGGCAGAATCTTCCCAATGTTACTAATTTGCTTGCCACAGTCTTGATCTTCCTCATTGTTATCTACTTCCAAGGTTTCCGTGTTGTGTTACCTGTGAGGTCTAAGAATGCTCGTGGACAGCAGGGTTCATACCCTATCAAGCTTTTCTACACCTCCAACATGCCAATCATTCTCCAATCTGCACTTGTTTCCAACCTCTACTTCATCTCTCAGCTGCTCTACAGGAAGTACAGTGGCAATTTCTTTGTCAATTTGTTGGGAAAGTGGAAGGAGTCTGAATACTCTGGTGGTCAGTTCATCCCTGTTGGTGGCCTTGCATACTATGTCACTGCCCCAGCTAGGTAAAGGAAGCAGCACATCTATTTGTCTCTTTCGTCTCCCTCCATGCCTGTTGTATCAAATTGCTAAATGTTGTGTATTTTGTGTTGCGTTCTTCCACTGATGTGTGTGTGTTCTGGTTTGGTGTGTCTATGAACTTCATCTATTGCAGCTTGGCAGATATGGCGGCCAACCCGTTCCATGCATTGTTTTACCTGGTATTTATGCTTGGTGCCTGCGCACTCTTCTCAAAAACCTGGATTGAGGTTTCTGGGTCTTCTGCCCGTGATGTTGCCAAGCAATTGAAGGTAGGATTTGGCAATCACCTGCGATTATTTGCTTCTACTCTCTCCAGTTTCTTTCTAATCAGTGCTCTGTAGTTTGATCTTCTGGTCGTGGTACCTGATGATGTGTGCTCTTCCATTTTGCAGGAGCAACAAATGGTTATGCCAGGACACCGTGACTCAAACCTGCAGAAGGAGCTGAACCGCTACATCCCTACAGCAGCTGCTTTTGGTGGGATCTGCATTGGCGCATTGACGGTGCTGGCTGATTTCATGGGAGCAATAGGTTCGGGAACTGGTATCCTGCTGGCAGTCACCATCATTTACCAGTACTTTGAGACCTTTGAGAAGGAGAAGGCCAGTGAACTCGGCTTCTTCGGGTTTTAAGAGCCCTTGTTAGTGTTACTGCTGTAGTTTTTTCCCCCTTCCCTGTATCCTTTTGTTACTTAATTACGTGTTAGGAAGAGAAGAAGATACGAAAGTTGGTCAAAGTGACAGTTTTTTGGGTGAGAAGCTTGTTCTTTTTCATTTAACTGTTTTAGCTACATTTAGTGTAGACTTTAAAAGTCGGAAGTTTAGTGCTTCATGTTAAAACTGGTTGATAGTCTGTGGTTGGTAAGTTCAACTGATGACAAACTTGGGGAGATGCCTCTTTTTTTTCTTCTACTCGTTCAAAGATAAGATAATTTTACTGTTGAGGTTCCCAGTTTCACCTCTTCAAGGACAAGAACATAGGGTTGGAGACAAAAAAAAAAAAAAGAAGTGAGCTTGTTGTGGGCCTGTGGAGGAGGTTGGGCTTCGTTGATTTGATTATCTGCTGGAATGGACTCCACAGAATCCGTAGTCTGACCGTTGGTGATCACTTGCTTCATTGGGCTCTGATTGTTCCCCAGAAAGAAGTTAGAATGAAGCCCAAAGAAGTCTTAACGGCGTCCGCAGGCAGGATGAACCATCTGTCTTGTACTCTTGTTCCATAATCCATCATCCATCCATGGTCCATGAGTGATGAGATCATAGCACCGGGAAAGTCAGCGGTAAGATATTTTAGTATACAACTGTAGTTTAAACGTAGTTCAATCGTTAGATCGTTAAATATCGCTTACCAATTTAGCTTTCAATATTGATATTTCGTGGTTGAAATAACATGTCTTTTGTTTGCCAACCTTGAACTGAATAGTTAGTTGATTATGACATGTTTAAATTCAGAGCTCGCAACTTTGAATCATCTAAAGAATATAATAAGGAGTTTCCCAAAAATGGCTTCTTAGATTCAAATTTCTCCTTCCCTGACGCATCCACGTCAGCACAGCCCTTACCCAATCAAATTATGTCAAGAAAAAAAATTCAACCAACAAAAAAATCTACTGAATCGCTAAATGTCGCCCTAAGAATTGCTAAACGTCGCCCTAACTTAAATGTCATATTACCTATATACCCTTAATGAAAATTGAAAAAATAGGACAACCAAACAACCCTTTACCTTTCCTTCGGCAGCAGACGAATCCACAAACCTTCCACCCTCTCCGAGTCGCCGCCGGCGAACCCCTCCCCCTCTACTGTTCCTGTCGCCGGCCTCCTGCTCCCGTCGTTGCCGCCGTGTCGCTCCCGTCACCGGCGACCTGCTCTGCCTCCTGGTCCACCGACGCGCAGACGACCCTTTACCTGTCGCGCGCTCGCCGCCGGAGAAGAAGAAGTCTCCTTGCCCGCCGGAGAAGAAGAAGTCGCGCGCTCGCCGCCGCCGGAGAAGAAGAAGGTAAAAAAAAAAAAAAAACCGTGCCGACCGCAGTCAAACCGCGGTTAGACCGACGGTCAACCGCGGTCAACGCTCGGTTTGACCATG